GAAAATACATTGTAAAACCTTACAAAACAAGTGTAAATACTCCGTAAAACCTTTAAAATACCTTGTAAATTTTTCCCGCCAAAAATTTTCCCGCCAAAAAAATTGCAGAATCACTTTTCCCGCAAAAAAAATTTTTGGCGGGAAAAATTTTTACGGGAAAATTTTACAAGGTATTTTAAAGGTTTTTACAAGTGTTTTGGCGGGAAAATTGCGGGATCACTTCCCCCGCCAAAAAATATTTTGTATTTTGTGGACCTAATTTTGTTTCAAATAAAGGTAAAATGGTCATTAAAAATTAAAAAATGGCAAACTTAAAAATGGACTCTCAAAGGGGCATTTTTGAAAAAGGGTATTGAAAACGGAGCATTTTTAACAATTTCTCTATTTTTATTTAGTATTAAATTTTTACTTAAAGAAAAATAAATGATTACTAAACTCAACTTAAATTTATAATTTAAGACGGATGTATTGTAAGAGTCACACTTTATCTTGTGAAATTATAAAAAAAAATCTTGAAATTTATGAAACATTATAATCTATCTTTTAAAAAAAATAAATAATCAATGACCACATTATTCATCAGTTCTACACAAAATATACAGAAAATGAAATGTAAGCCATTAAAAACAGAGATATGTAATTTGTATAGCATATTCTCAAGTGCAACTACAACTTTATAACATGATCAAAAGAAAAACAAGATTGATATTTCATCAATTGAAGCAAATGCTTTTAATCCAAAAAATTGAGTATTAAAAGATAGTAATTAAGGAGAAAATAGTTAATGATATGTCTTAAAAATCAATTCATAGTCCAATATATATAATATGTGAGTCAATAGAAAGTGAAAATAAATTAGATGTCGAGAGTCAACGAGTGCATCATAGAAAATGACGAAAGAATTGGTAGTTAAAAGTGTTTGAAAATAAATTTCTAAAACTTAGAAATATAATGCACATAAATAAGGTCAAATTCTTTGAGATCTCATGCATTGTGTGAAACGAATGAGTTTAAAAAAAAAATTACATCACACACATTATTAAACAGATGATTAGATTCAAAGTTGGGCTTAACCGTTTGGTCGTGTAATCATGAAAAATTAGATAAATAGGCACATTGAAAACTTAGTCGAGAATTCTCTTATGGCACCATGCACATGCTTAAATGGGTATAAAATGCTTTGATAAAACGGTTCTAGCAACATAATATTATAGATGTATTTTTACACTAAATAATGTTCATAAAATTGGGTATATTTTATATTTTATATGAAAAGATGTTAAAATTTAAATTATTATATATATACTCAAATATTTATCTTTTAAATTTAAATAATTATATTTTATGCTCAAATTTTTTATTAGTAAAAGAAATTTTAAATTAAAATCCCGCGGGTACAAAATCTAGTAAATGAAATAGTACCATTATATAGAAAAAAAAGAAAATTAGAAATAAACGATGTTTTAATGGATACATGTATATATATATATATATATATATATATATATATATACCTTTGTATAAAAAGTTTGGTGAAATAGGTTTTTTTAAAAATCAATACCCCAAATTATCCCTATATTTTTGAAAATGTAATTAACAAAAATAAAAAAAAATTATTTCCTAATTAATTTACAAAATTCAGATAACTTTGTGGTTTTTGAAACTCTCTACTTGAACAGGAGACTTCTCCCACATAAAAACTTTTTTTTTTCCTCATTAACCAAATCGTGAAAGAGACAAAACGAAACCCTTTATCGTCGGCGATGAAAAACTGAGCCGTTGAAGTGATTTAACTTATGATTTTTAGATTTTTTTTCCTTCTAAAAAAACTTAGAAAACGTATTCTAAACATCCTCAGATCGTAATCTAAACAATAAAAACTGAATATTTAGTAAATATTCAGTTTCCTTTTTGAAAGATTCACTTTCTATATTTAGGAATTCTAAAAATTTCAGAAATTGAAATCTATATTATTTAGAAAATGTATTCTATACTAATAATACATTTTCTAACGTTTTCAGAACATGTAGTAATTCGTAGAATGGATTTTCCGACAAAAATTAGAACATGAAGAAAAGCGTAGAATATATGTTCTACGGATTTAAGGAAATTGTATTCCGGTCTTCTGAATATGTTAGAACAGAAATCTAATCTAAAATTCGTAGAACATGTACAAAAGTTTAGAACAGAAACTCTGATTTTTGTAGAACATGTAAAAAAGTTTAGAATAGAAACTCTGATATTCGTAGAACAATAGAAAATTTATTCTAATAATATTAGACGAAATTTTATCCATCAAAAAAATCAAATTTTTTTCAACTAAATCACTAATTTTTTTTTACAAAGCATCTATAATTCTGTATATCTATAATTTTTTTTGATAAAATTATTCAAAAAATGCTTAAAAGAGAGAATAAGGGTATTTTGGTCCAAAATGACATTCTAAAAAAAAAAAGTGTATATGATCAAACTTTTTTTTAGACCTTTTATTTCTAATTTACTTCACAAAAAAAAATCCATATATCAAAAGTGAATCTTCACCGTCGAATCTGCCGAATGGCACCGAAAAATATTCTCATTCGCAAAAAGATTTTTGTATATATTCCTTTTTGAATTGTCAACGAATGGAATTGTCAACTCAAAGAGTAGCTCATGAATTAATGGGCCAAGGCCCAAAATCTAAAACGAGGAGCAAGATCTATTTCGATGAGCTTTTTTTGGGATTCGGAGAAGCAAGAAGGCGTATCAAGATATTCCATATATATTGGCAAAAAAATAAGATATTCCATATATAAAGATATTCCCATATGTAATGAAACTAAAAAAATCTCAGAAATTTTTATTAAGGAAAATAAAAATTCATAGATCTCTGACTCTTATATATTATCATCATATATTGATATAGAAAAGTTTCCAAAATGTTTAGCATGATACCAACATTTATTTAGAATCTACTATCATATAGTAAAGATATCACCATTGGGCGATATCCTGCTACGTACATAGAATAGAACTTTTCATTAACCAGCAATTAATATTTTCATATATCTAAATTGCCAAAAAAAACAGATAACGATACATAGATACATAGAAAGAAGACTAAAATAGGAAACCTTAACGACTTTTATTCTTCTTTTTTTTTCCCTCATCGACTTTTATTCATATGGGTCACAAAAGATATAGTATCATGCTAAACATATAAAAGAAAAAAACGTTTTTTCACCACCCAATACCCTCCAATTTTTTTTGTTTCTAAGGTTTCTCAAGAACAATTACAAATAACAAAACATCTTTAATCTAAATCGATGGAGTCATCTTCCAATCACATGGTATGCGTTTAATAGATTGTAAGATTAGTGTATATATTCAGGCCCGGCCCGTTCATAAAACAGGTAAAGCACCTGTTTTAGGCCACACAATATTATGTAAATCATAAGGCCACATTTTGAAAATTATTAAGTAGGGCAGTGGTTAATTATCCCAACGTTTAGTTCCATTACACAGGTTCAACCCATTCTATTGACTTTATTTGCTTTTATTTTTTCCTGGCATTCTTTTTCATCCTTTTTTTTCTTATACTTTTCTATTTTTAGTTGGTGGTTTATTTTTCCTTAGTTCACTTATTAGTTGAAAAAAAGTTAGAAAAATTAATTTTCATAAATTGTTTTACTTTGTTAAAATATTTAATGATTTTTTATCAGCTATATTTTATCATTTTAATACCTTTCTAAATTTATAGTATAAAATTTTTATTTATAATATTAACAGTATAGGGAAGGCCACATATTTAATTCTGCTTTAGGCCACTTAAAGTTAAGGACCGGCCCGTATATATTTTATGCTTATTTGAAAGTGTTTATAAATCTTATATATGTTTTTAACTTTTAAGTGCAGGCATGTCTCTTGAAGATAGAATCTCCTATGCCGGGATGGAAGAAATCTTTGGAAAAATTACTCAAGACAATTAATGGTTTCATAATCTATCACTTTTCTCGTTAACTTAATTTTATCATTCATGTCTTACTTTATTTTCACTTGTTTTCCTGAATTCATAATGTTTGCTTTTTTTTTTTGCATCTATACATAGATGATTTTCATAATTTAACCTATGTGAATCATCAGCACTAATATATTTAAAACTTTGTTTTATACTGTATGTATCATCTGCGGAATATAACCATGATCATCGAACAAATCTTTCATATTATCGTATATAGCTAATAATATACTTGTGTAGTCTAGAGATGACTCTACTGTGAACATGTTTCAGTTCCAATCTCTTCGCTGTATCGAACCAGTCGTTATTATAGCTTTTTAATATTGGACTCTTATACTATATAGTTCCACAAAATTTTTGATATGAAATGCAATAATATATTTTCATAATTGTACTATTTTTTTTTTCTACAGATGTGAGTTTTATGATTGACAAGCGAAGCAAAACAGTATATGTATCTGGAAAAATCGATCCACAATTAATACTTGAAAAGATTACAAAAGGAGGCATAAATGTTGTTTTAGTATGGAGCAATAAGGGACAGAATAAACAGAATCGAAAAGAGTATTTGATGGAACAATGTTATGCGTCGGGATACATGAATGCTCCTAATGGTTTCTCAAATCCTCAACCATACATTCAAACTTTTGCTCCTCCACCGCCATATACACGTCAACTCCATCCACAGCCACCAGCACCACCACCGTACGAGTTTCACCAGAAGGAACCAGTGGCTAAGAGTTTTCCGCCTACGCCAGCTCCGCCTAAAAACTTTACTATGGGAGATTTGCAATTAGGATGCAGAATAATGTGAAAACCTACGATGTTGGTGTTTTTTTTAATCATTCGTTAATGTCATATAGTATAGATTTGGATTTGACCAGCAAATCTATTTACTAGTGGGTTTTTAGGAGGCATTGCAACCCCATTGAGCTAAACCCGAAGAAAGACCTAATCCGAACAATCGTAATCTAAAAAACTAGATCTTTGAGGTTTAGATATCTAAATTTTCTGCCTACTTTCTACTCATTTTTTGAGGTTTAGATATCTAAGTTTTATGGTTATTCATGTCATCTAAACCAGATTAAAACCAAACCGAATACGAGATTGGTATGAGCGGATTATGAATGCTATACTAAACAAATACGTCCACAAACGTAACCCCGCACGAGTAATACGTCTACAAAAAAATATTAATACCATATCCGACCCTTACCCACGGGTATAGAATTACAATACCTTTTATCCGATCCTAAAGTCACAATACCTTTTTTTGAGACTGGTACGAGTCAGTTAACAGATTGAATACGGGTAATGGGTATCAGTGCCAAGTCCTAAATTGAATACGGGTAACGAGTATCAGTGTCCAGTCCTAAATAGTAAATACTATATACAAAAATACAAACACAAACAAAACCCCACACGAATGTGCGGATCCAGAACTGGCAAACAAAATAGAAAATAATACTTTAATCTTAATTTACATTCCTAGTAAAAAATGTTTATTTTTATCATTTATTAATACTTTAAGTAAGGGAAATTTGGTGAAAAAACATCAGTTTGTGGATCATAAACAAAGATTTATGTGTTACTAGATGAATACCCACGCTACGCGTGGGTTTTTGTGTTAAAAATTGCAGAAAAATATGATTATGGTTTTTGTATTATTTTGTATGTGTATTATTATGCGCTTTATGTATATTTAAATATGGCGAGTGGAGGCGAACTAGGGTTTCCAATAGATGGTGGGCAAGATGCGACGATAACGGATATCGGGGAGAAGGATCCACCACCGGGAGATCCTCCAGATGCTACTGGCTCATGGGTGAAAAAGGTGGTGGGTAGTAGCGTGGGGGGGAGGTTACTACCGGAGAGAGTGATAGATGATGGCTTCGTGACGGAGAGATTGCAGCTGACTTTCCCGGATGGTGAGGATGGGGAACCAGAGATTACAATCGAGAGAGAAGTTTTGGAAGCCATGAATGGTCTTTGGAAGCAGTGCATGATTGTGTAGGTACTCGGGAGGAACGTTTCGATTGCAGCCCTTAACCGTAAGCTGAGGGAGTTGTGGAATCCGAAAGGTATGATGTCGGTTATGGACTTGCCTCGCCAGTTCTTTATGGTTCGGTTCGGGTTGGAGGAGGAGTATCTCGCGGCCTTAACGGGAGGACCATGGAGAGCGTTTGGGAGTCATCTTACAGTTCAAGCGTGGTCACCGGATTTTGATCCATTACGTGATGAGATTGTTACCACGCCGGTTTGGGTGAGATTATCGAACTTACCGGTGAATTTTTACCATCGATCAATCCTGATGGGCATCGCTAGGGGTTTGGGGAAACCTATTAGGGTTGTTTCAACGACGCTTAACTTTGAAAGAGCCCGTTTTGCAAGAGTTTGTGTGGAAGTGAACCTTGCTAAACCTCTCAAGGGAACTGTGATGGTCAATGGAGATAGGTACTTTGTGGCATATGAAGGATTGACGAATATTTGTTCGTCTTGTGGGTTGTATGGACATCTTGTTCATACATGTCCTAAGGTGAGATCAGAAAAACCGGTGGAGATGTCACAAAGCACGAGTCAGGAAGAGGTACGGGGGACCCAGGCGGAGAATGATGGGTTTACAGTTGTCCGGCGGTCGGGGAGGAGACCGGGAAAACAAACGGGGAACGCAGTGGTTGGTGCTGATAATTCAGGAGCAGATTTGGGAAGGAATCTGAAGGAGATCTCCACAAATCTCGTAACAGCAAACAGATTTGGGGAATTAGAAGATGATATGGTATCTGCGGAATTAAGGGAAGTACCTATTTTATTGGAGGGAAATAAGGAAAACGGGGTTGTGGTAAATCAGACAAATAAAGGCAAGAGTGTGTCGCAAGGTCCAAGTGGCGTAGGAGGAGAGTCTCGGGGTAAAGGACAAGAAGGAGCATGTAATGGGCCTAAGGGCAAACGGACTGGGCTTGGTAAGCCTAATGTGGTTAACGGGCCAAGATTAAAACAGAGTGTGGTCAATAGGCCAACACGTGGACTAGTTTTCGGCCCAACAAGGGAAGATTTGGGGAATTAGAAGATGATATGGTATCTGCGGAATTAAGGGAAGTACCTATTTTATTGGAGGGAAATAAGGAAAACGGGGTTGTGGTAAATCAGACAAATAAAGGCAAGAGTGTGTCGCAAGGTCCAAGTGGCGTAGGAGGAGAGTCTCGGGGTAAAGGACAAGAATGAGCATGTAATGGGCCTAAGGGCAAACGGACTGGGCTTGGTAAGCCTAATGTGGTTAACGGGCCAAGATTAAAACAGAGTGTGGTCAATAGGCCAACACGTGGACTAGTTTTCGGCCCAACAAGGGAAGAAATGGTATTGTCGGCATCTGGGAAGCGGCTTCGTGTTGAAAACAGAGTTGCGGGACGCCCAGGAGGATTTTTTGGAGTAGAAGGTGACCGAAATCAAACGAAGGAGACATTATTGGAGGAGCGGGATAATGTACTTGGGAATGTTAGTACGATGCTGGCAATTGAGCAGTCGGGTCGGGAATTGGAAGTGCAGAGTTCTCCGTAGACGGAGGCGGGAATGGCGGTGGCATACTATTTGTCCCCGGTGGTTCGAATCTTGTTTTGCAAATTATCAATGAATTGCTTATTTTGGAATTGTCGGGGGGCGAATAAACCTAATTTTAGAAGATCCATACGATATATGTTGAAGAAATTCAATACCGATATCTTGGCGATCTTTGAGACACATGCGAGTGGTGATGCTGCGAGTCAGATTTGTAGGGGACTTGGTTTTGAGAATTCTTTTCGAATTGATGCAGCTGGTCAGAGTGGTGGACTATGGTTACTTTGGCGTTCCACGGTGGGGACGGTGACTATTGAGAACTCCTCTGATCAGTTCATACATGTGTTGGTGGAGAATGGAACGGAGAGGATGCAACTGATAGTTGTCTATGCAGCCCCCACTGTAAGTCGGAGAAGTGGACTGTGGAGACAATTATCAGATGTGATCCAAGGAGTGAATGACCCGTTGATTATCGGAGGTGATTTTAATACAATAATCCGCCTAGATGAAAGAACGGGTGGGAATGGCCGGTTGTCAACAGACTCTCTAGCATTTGGGGAGTGGTGTAATGAGCTATCCCTAATCGATATGGGTTTTAAAGGTAACAAGTTCACATGGCGGAGAGGGAAGGAGGAGAGTACGTTTGTTGCAAAAAGATTGGATAGAGTTTTGTGTTGCGCCCAAGCGAGATTGAAGTGGCAGGAGGCAATCATCTCTCATTTACCTTTCTTAGCTTCAGACCATGCCCCGATCTATGTACAACTATGTCCTGAAGGGAGGGGAGACCCGAGTAGAAGACCATTTAGGTTCGAAGCTACGTGGATGAAACATGAGAGTTTCAAAGAACTAATTTCACAGTCCTGGAATGGTGAGATTGGGACTCAAGAAGCTTTAAATCGGTTGTGGAGAACGCTCAAGAGATGGAACAATGAGGTTTTTGGGGATGTGCAGAAGAGAAAGGAGGCATTAATCTCTAAAATTAAATTGGTCCAGGATGAGATAGAGACGAATCAAACAGATGGGCTGTTAAAGAGAGAGGATGAACTGCTAAAAGAATTTAAGGAGGTTCTAGAGCAGGAAGAAATACCAAATACTTCCACACATCTACCATTATCCGGAGAAAAAGAAACCGTATCGAAAGTTTGAAGAATGATGATGGAGTTTGGGTCACAGATGGAGCGGACTTGGAGAAGATGGCGGTGGACTATTATACACGACTTTACTCCATGGATGATGTTGAACATGTGGTTACAAGCCTACCTTTGGCAGGATTTGTACGGTTAACACAGGCGGAGCTGCGAGCTTTGAATTTACCTTTTACGGCGGCGGAAGTGGAAGATGCAATACGCCGTATGGGACAATTTAAAGTTCCGGGGACAGATGGGTTTCAACCAGGGTTCTATCAACACTGTTGGGATGTGGTGGGAAATTCAGTGACCAAGTTTGTGCTAGATTTCTTCGCGACAGGGGTGTTACCGTGTGAGACGAATGATGCTTTGTTGGTGTTAATTGCTAAGGTGGAGAAACCGGAACGCATAACACAGTTTCGACCTATAAGTCTATGTAATGTGTTATTCAAAACAATTACAAAGACTATGGTGATGAGGCTAAAGGCGGTGATGCCTAAGCTAATAGGTCTAGCTCAAGCTAGCTTTATCCCCGGGAGATTAAGCACGGACAACATAGTGATTGTACAAGAGGCGGTACACTCAATGCGGAGAAAGAAAGGTCGTAAAGGGTGGATGTTATTAAAACTTGACCTTGAGAAGGCGTATGACCGTATTCGTTGGGACTTTCTTGAAGACACTTTGCGGGCTGCACAGTTACCAGAACAATGGATTAATTGGATTTTGCAGTGTGTTAAGGGTCCAAAGATGAATGTGTTATGGAATGGAGAGAAAAAGGCTGACTTTAAACCACTGAGAGGACTAAGGCAAGGAGATCCATTATCCCCGTATCTCTTTGTACTATGCTTGGAAAGACTATGTCATCAAATTGAGTTATCGGTCGGTGCAAAAGAATGGAAGGCGATTAGTTTATCTATGGGAGGACCGAAGCTATCGCACATTTGCTTTGCGGATGATCTTATTCTTTTTACGGAAGCCTCGGTTGCTCAAATTAAAGTCATAAGGAAGGTTCTTGAAACGTTTTGCATTGCATCAGGTCAGAAAGTTAGCTTGGAGAAATCTAAGATTTTTTTCTCTACTAATGTGCATCGGGATCTAGCAGAACTGATAAGCGACGAAAGTGGAATTAAATCGACTCATGACCTTGGCAAATACTTAGGAATGCCTATTCTACAGAAGAGGATTAATAAGGATACGTTTGGGGAAATCATTCAACGAGCAAATTCTCGGTTATCAGGTTGGCGGGGTAGATTTCTGAGTTTTGCGGGAAGACTTACTCTCACTAAGGCAGTTCTCTCCTCACTCCCAGTACACTCCATGAGCACGATACTTCACCCAAGTTCGGTACTTGACAAGTTGGATCAATTGTCAAGGTCGTTTCTATGGGGTAGCACGCCGGAAAAAAAGAAAACAGCACCTAATTGGATGGGATCGGGTCTGTTTGCATAAAGCGGAGGGTGGACTTGGTATTCGAATGGCGAAATGTATGAATAAAGCCCTGTTGGCGAAGGTAGGGTGGCGTTTAATACACGATAAAAGCAGTCTCTGGTCCCGAGTGTTAAGACATAAATATAAGGTAGGAGATGTTAAAGATCCATCATGGTTGAAGCCGAAGGGGACATGGTCTTCAACATGGCGAAGCGTAGGTGTTGGGTTGCGAGATGTGGTGCTCCCGGGTATAAGTTGGGTCCTTGGCGATGGGAGAGTGATTAAATTCTGGTCGAATAAATGGGTTTCAAGGCAACCTTTGTTGGAGTTAGCGGTGACAGATATACCATTAAATGAGTTGAATGTGACTGTTAAGGATCTATGGCGGGATGGTATAGGCTGGGACCTATCTTGGGTTGAGCCTTTTGTGTCTAATAACACAAAATTGGAGTTAATGTCGCTGGTTGTGGACAATGTTTGTAAAAGCGGAGATGAATCAATCCTCCATGTTCTGCGTGACTGTCCGGCCATGGCGGGTATATGGCAGCGGTTAGTGGCTCCGAGACGGGTACAATCTTTCTTTGGTAAAACCCTTTTGGAGTGGATGTACATGAACTTGAGTAATGAGAAAGAAGTTGACGGGGTGAAATGGGCTACGCGTTTTGCTATGGCTGCTTGGTGGGGCTGGAAGTGGCGTTGCGGAAATGTATTTGATAATCACGGGAGATGTAGAGATCGGGTACGGTTTGTCAAGGACTTGGCCAAGGAAGTAGCTGTGGCTTTCAATAATTCTCGAGCGCGAGCTAGTGGTGTTGCGAGAGAAGAGAGCTTAATAGCGTGGGTCCCCCCTGGTGACGGTTGGGTCAAGCTCAATACGGATGGGGCGTCACACGGGAACCCGGGGCTAGCGTCAGCGGGAGGGGTGTTGCGTGATGGCCAAGGAAACTGGAAAGGAGGGATTGCTTTGAATATTGGCATCTGTACGGCACCACTTGCCAAACTTTGGGGAGTTTACTATGGTCTATATATAGCTTGGGAGCGTGGAATACTGCGACTGGAGCTTGAAATAGACTCGGAGATGGTTGTTGGTTTCCTGACGAAAGGAATAGGTGATTCTCACCCCCTTTCTTTCCTAGTACGTTTGTGCTATGGCTTCATTTCGAGGGACTGGATAGTCCGTATTACCCATGTGTATAGGGAAGCTAATCGTCTTGCGGACGGATTAGCTAACTATGCGTTTTCACTTCCTTTAGGTCTTCACTTGTTTACCTCTCAGCCTGATGTTGTTAATCAGATTGTTTTAGAGGATGCTAACGGGACTGCGCGCCCGAGAAACGTTTGTTTGTAGTTTAATTTTCTTTTTTAATAAATTGGGGGAGGCAATTGTCACCCCCTCTCCTACCAAAAAAAAAATATGCGCTTTATGTTAATTTGTGTGTGTTATTATGTAATTAATAAAGTTATATCTATTTTATATAGTTATAATTTTTATGATTAGACTCATCTTTGACTCGAAATATCAATTCCACGTTTTTAATGTATAAACATGATTATTTATATACCTATGATCCTAATTTTTCATTATCATGAATACATACAACAATAATATATGATATATTGATACAATGATATGTAATTATGTTACTTATGTGGTTTGAAACTTGCCTAACTTAATTCTAAACAAACAATTCTTTGTTCCATTTACTCTCTCGTGATCTAGTACGCCAATCACATCATGATATGCTAGTACTTTAAGTCAACTCTTTAGATTTCTCTCTTTGCATACAACAATATATGAGAGAGTCTCGTGCTTTAAATTTCTTGGTATGTCTAACGTCTCAAAAGACCCTTAAGTGAAAAAAGTTGTGTATCAATATTACCAACTTATCATAACGCAAAGAAATAAAAAGAGAGAATGCCATATTCAGAAAATGTAACATGAAGTTATGTAGCAAATATATAAACTATAACACAAATAATTTTTGAGCCATTATCGAATAATGACCATCGATAAAAGTTTTTAATAATATATAAAAAGTAGAATGAAAGTAGTGTTTAATACATTAGTATCTTTTACTTTATTTTTTAGTTTTTTAAAAAATTAATTAAGAGTGATACTAATGGAGAATTTAACACAACAAAAAATTTTTGATTTTCTCTCAATTAAATTTACTAATCTTTTTATTTAAATAATGTAAAATGACACATATCATTTTCTTATGTGATGATTTGGTACTCATACGAAAATAGTTAGCCAAGGATCTTTTTATAATTTAAAAGAAAATAATCTAAACTAGATTTTAAGATTCTCCTAAAGTAACGTAAGACTTATCAGAAACTAGTTTGTTTGTTTGTTACACAGTCTTGTAGTATCAGAAACCTTTTTAAGTTTGGTCTGAAAAATTAGATCGAGATGCGTTCGTTAGGGTTAATACTCTGTTGGATCTCGTTTCTTACGTTATCAATCTCAATCCCTGCATCGTCTGATGATCAATTCACCGTCGACGGAACAGTTTTAGAACTCACCGATTCGAATTTTGATTCGGCGATTTCAACTTTCGATTGCATCTTTGTTGATTTCTATGCTCCTTGGTGTGGTCACTGCAAGCGTCTCAATCCCGAGGTCTTTTTAATTTAAGCTCGCTTTAGTACGATCTGGATTTGTTTGTTTGCAAATTACTTAGTCGAATTTAGGTTAACAATTTCAGTTTTATGGCATCGAATTTATACCCTAATTGTGTAGCTTTTGTTTAGTTCTGTGTTAACTATGTTCGGTTTCAATGGGGCTTTGTTATTGATGCTTCAGTTGTTTTCTTCTTGTTGGTTTGGTTGCAGTTAGACGCAGCTGCTCCAATTCTTGCTAAATTGAAGCAGCCTATCATTATTGCGAAGCTGAATGCTGATAAGTATTCACGTCTCGCACGGAAGATTGAGATTGAGTATGTGTCTGTTCTACATGACTACATATAGTCTTCTATTTTGAGTTTAAGTCTGTTCTTTATTGCTGCAATCACCTTAGCTAATTGCTTGATTCGGGCGTCCAAAAATTTTCGATTGTTCGATGTTTTACCTTAAGCTTCTATATATTCCTCTGAATCACCACCCTATTGGTTTTGTATGATTTAGTGTTATTCTGTCTTTCTTTTGTGCAGTGCATTCCCGACTCTCATGCTCTATAACCATGGAGTTCCAATGGAGTACTATGGACCGAGGAAAGCAGATTTGCTTGTTCGTTACTTGAAGAAGTTTGTTGCTCCAGATGTTGCGGTTCTTGAGTCTGACTCAGCTGTCAAGGAGTTTGTTGAAGATGCTGGGACTTTCTTCCCGGTGTTTATCGGGTTTGGTTTGAACGAATCGTTGATATCAGGCTTAGGTGGGAAGTATAAGAAGAAGGCATGGTTTGCTGTTGCAAAGGATGTTTCAGAGGATACAATGGTTTCCTATGATTTCGATAAAGCTCCGGCGTTAGTAGTCAAACATCCTACGTACAATGAGCATAGCGTCTTCTACGGACCATTCGAAGGTCAGTGTTTGTTTCAAGTTGTATAGTTTGTATACAAGTGAAGCAGATATTTAAACCGGTTTCATACATTTGTCCATACAATTTTGTTTGCAGATGGATTCTTGGAAGAATTTGTGAAACAGAGTTTCTTTCCTCTGATTCTGCCTATAAACCAGGACACTCTGAAGTTGCTGAAGGACGATGAGAGAAAGATTGTCTTGACAATCGTGGAAGATGAAACTCACGAAAGCTTGGATAAACTAATCAAAGCATTGAGAGCAGCTGCTCATGCGAACCGCGACCTTGTTTTTGGCTACGTCGGTGTGAAGCAGTTTGAAGAGTTTGTAGACTCGTTTCATGTAGACAAGAAGACAAACCTGCCTAAGATTGTTGTGTGGGATGGAGATGAAGAGTATGATCAGGTAAGAAAACTGGTTTTAGCAATATCCAAAATCGCATCAAATTCTTGGTATTGACATACTATATGCAGGTTACCGGCATAGAGACCATTAGCCAAGAGGAAGATCATTTGACTCAAGTCTCTCGGTTTCTAGAGGGATATAGAGAAGGAAGAACAGAGAAGAAGAAAATCAACGGACCATCTTTCATGGGATTTATCAACTCAATGATCGGGATTAGGTCAGTGTACATCATTGTGTTCTTGGTTGCTGTCATTATGATGCTACGGAGCCTCGGTCAAGTGGAGGAGCCTGCTGGAGTCAGGACCGCCCCAGCATCCCGCGAAAGAGTTGATCAGACCACTAGTGTCACTGAAGGTGAAACTAGTGAGCATACGCCCAGTGACAAAAAAGAGGACTAGCTTTTTAGCTACACTTGAATGTGGTATGTTTTTTTCTTTTACACATGAAGCTAACTTATATAGTTCATGGTTATCTTCTTTATGGCTAGTCTTTTTGGTATTAATCAGAGAATTTTTATGTTTCACCCTATCTAAACCGACGATTATTCCATTTTAATTATGAATCCTTTTGGCTCTTTAGTTGAATATCTTTGTGAAAGGCGTTCCTGAAATCTGATGAGGTACTTACAGATATACTCTGACAACTATTGGTAGATCATAAAATGATTGTAGTGAAGTAATAGAGCTCGGGCTAGGAGAAAGCAGAGGTGTTGTTGCTGACACTGGTGGAACATCATTTCCTGTTCTTGGATTGTGTTTACAAACCGGACAAAAGGATCTCCAATGTCCGAGCCAAGAATCGATACACACCACATGAAATTCTGCCCCGAGTTTTAAAAAAAAAAGGACAACAACACCAATTTCAGAAGCTTATGCAAGATAATTAATCAACTCTTAGTTGAACAGAACAAATTGGAACTTACTGTGTTTGCAAGGTAAAATCCTTAGTTTTTCACTGAGGCAATAATCGTTGATGCATATAGCACAAGTAACCGAAGTTGAACCTTCTTCAAAGACACCGGTATATAGTTCAGTCGGCATGCTTTGCAACATTTTACTAGGCATACGAGAAAGTCCTTGGCCACCATGTGGTAAATCCCTCACCCGCCGTCTAATTCGATGCCTATGGACAACAAAACAAGTGGCTAGAACAGCAGACACGGCGAGTAAAGATATGAAAGTGATACCCATGATGGGCCACGATGAAATCCCGAATCCCGGGATGAGCCACAGCTCCAACTCGGCTCGACCCGCATACCCTTTAAGTACCTCCCCTGATGCTCTTGTAACAAGCAAGCCATGTATACGCACACCAGATAAATTTCCTGCCACTATCATTTTGATTTTTTTGAAGATTCTAACAACCATTGATTAATACTCACATGAACATTGAGAACTTACTAGGTACTAAGAGCTCATCATATCCATCGTTATAAACAATAGCAGCTTTGTATCCAGCTTTCTGCGCCTTTCTAACTTTTTCCTCAAAAGTACAGCCACCACGGACAATCAATATATAAGAGGACCTTAACTTTGATCCTTTTTCCGCCATGTTGTTTAAATCTGAGCACGCATCAAGAGGCTCTGCAGCATACACCAATCCGTGTTCCCCCGATCTCCTAACAATTGGAGCTGAAAACATCTCAATACGATATATAGTGTACACACAATTACTTAAGAAAAACTAAATAGTATGTTACTGATCACTCCAAAAATATAGAGCGATTTGGTCACTATTCAGTATTTTAGTAGTCTATACATAATTTTCTAATGCAAGCCATATATATCTCCAACCAATAAGCCGTGTAATAGTAGTAACTCCGCAACAACCAAAAAACGATATATAAGTAAACTAAATCAATGAAACAATAAGTACATATAACTGAGAAAACTTACTGAAAGTTGCTTCGACATCATCAAAGGAGAGAATTGTGTTTCTCCCGATCAACACTACTTTCGCCGAAGCCAGCTGAGAAATTACCAATAGAGACATGATTGTAATCCAACTACAATTCATGATGCTTTCCCTAAATTTTAATCGAATCGAAGCTCATAGTACGAATAAAATACCGACCAAAACAAAATGCCAAACCAAACCCCAAGAAAAGCAGGATAGGTCGAGAGAAGAAGTTTCTAAAGTTTTAAGAGATTTGATGGAAGGAAATACTTCTACTTGTATTAGAGAAAGCAAGACCAGGACGTAAGTGTATCTTGCCAATTGTGTTTTCTAATCCAAATCCAAAACATTTATGTTAGTATTTTTACTTTTATATTTACTAGGGTCAACTCCTTCTCCATGCATAACAAGGACCTTTCACTTTCGACACTAAATATTTTATCAAAGTAAATCAGATCTCTCAAATAATTAAGCTCCAAATTTTCTCTAAAAGTTTTGTAGACACATATTTAAATTTCTTTTTTTTTTTTTTTTAATGAAATGTGAAATTAATTAATAATGAAAATGTTATTTACAAGGAATGAACAATGAGACGAAATATAGGGGAAGACATATTTAAAATTCTTTTTTTAATTGTTCACAAAGAGTATTGCAATAGACTTTAACAACATCATTTCACAATTATTTCTGGTAATTTACATGGAAAAGCTGATTGTTTGGCATATAATTTTAGACTACGTCCCTACGATTTCATGTATGTAGAAATGTAGAATTTGTATTGCCGGTTAGATTACTGAATAAATTTTATTCTCAAATTCTTTTGACAAAAAGCCTACACTATATTTATATAATAACAAAAATCGTTATCAAACTATCGTAATAATATATAATTAATTAATTAATTATGACTTATGAAAGATTCACCTAGAAACATTTGAGGAGGTGGAGAAAGCGAGAGATAGAGAGAGGAGAAAAATATTGTAATAGTAATTAAGACACGAAAATACTGTTCACCTAGAAAATTTAAAGAGATAGAGAAAGAGAGAGAGAAAATCTTATGTATTCTGTGGCGAAAAAAAACATTGTAATAATACTCTTTCTGCATCATTATAAGTGATATTTAAGGTTTCCACATATAAATTAAGAAAAGACCAAATATTTATTTAATTGATTGTTTTTACAATAAAACATCATTAAGTGAATTCAACCAATAAGAAAACATGATGTAAAATATAATTGGTCAAAAAAATTTTAAAACATTTAATTTTTGTATAAAAAATTAAAAACATCACTTATAAAGTTATAATGAAACAAAATAATATTCTTAAAACATCACTTAAAATGATACAGAGGAAGTAGTAATTAAGACAAAAGAATAAATTACCGATTAAAACAACTTATAGAAGAAATGTTTTCTTTAGCTACTTAATATAATACCTTGCACATCTCATTTTTGACACTATATAAATTTTTTATTGAAGTAATCATTAATTAGAAATCTCAGACAATTATGCATAATTCGCTATAAGATATTTTTACTCTCACGTTTATCGTTTTTAAACAACACATTAATATTAAAATAAAATTTTGATTGGTTATCCAATCCGGAAAAGAAACGTTTACAAATGAAGCATCAACAAATCTTAATTGAGAAATCCATACTAAACAGCCAACATTTGAATTGAGAGAAGGAGAAAAAAAAATAAGTTAGAAATAAACCAATTTTGTTTAGCAGATTGGAAAAAACGAACTACTGCATAATTAATTACATTCGAGTAGTTTGTTTCAAAAGTCTGATAGTTTGCCATGCGATCGAGACTATTCAATATTGACCATATAGTAGCGTTTTCATCTTTGAATAAAAAGATGACCGATTATTTCTTTGGTACTTAACACTTAAAAGAATCGTCCTACCGTCCATCTGAAGACAAATACATCCCAAACTTAAGTACAATGCCTAATTTTCCAGGTTCCATCTATTTGACATTTTATAGATTATCATTTCCTTTGTCGCATATGATCACCCTTGATCATTAGTGTTAACTTTTAATTATAATTATTTTTAGAAAGATTAATTATGACAAATTTATATCAGCAGGCCCGGTCCGCTACCAAAACCCAAGAAACAAATGTGTTGGGCCTCCAAATTTTTAAAGACTTTTGGTACTAAAATTAGGCCTCAAGAATAATTTTGTATTGCAAAAAGAGGCCTCATTTTTCCAAAATTTTAAAATTTAATCTCAAATTTTAAATTTTATCTATTTTTTATTGCAAAAATAGGCCTCATTTTCTAAAAATTTAAGATTTAGTCTCATTTTAAAAATTGTCTACAAAATCCATCTAAATTTTTTTTTGCCCTGTATTGGGCCTCTAATATAACAGGGCCGGGCCTGTATATCAGTATTAAAATTTTAAGAATATAATCAGAGATATTAATTAAACTTTATGATTTCTTAGTCATAAAATCTAATTCCCAGCATTATCTAGAATTGACTTAATCCAACCATGAATACTTTCTTATAGAAGAAGAAACACTAACCTTGATCCATTTCTTAATTGGACACTTTAATAAATCTAGAAACGTTAATTTTGTATGAAAGTGAAAACTCGGTAGAGAATTATATTAATGAGACAATGCTTTAAGCTTATATATGTTACAAACTTACAATAGGCTTGGCCAAGTATCTATACATATTTGACCTTATCGATATATAGAAATATTCTATATTTCTATATTCTAGGATATTCATATGTATTTAAATGATAGTATCTAACACTTCCCCTCAAAAGAAGCAGTAGATGGTCCGTTGTAGACGGGCGAGTGCTTAGACTGGTTCTGAAATTAAGAAACAATGATGACGAGAGACCCTTAGTGAATACATCTGCAAACTGTTGAGCTGACGGGACATGAATAACACGAACATGACCAGTGGCAACCTTTTCTCGGAGAAAATGTATATCAATTTCAAATTGTTTAGTGCGTTGATGTTGAACTGGATTCGAGGATAGGTATATGGCAGAGATATTATCACAATAGACCATGGTTGCACGTGGCAGCAGGATCTTCATTTCCAATAACAGAGTTCATAGCCAAGTAGTTTCGGAGAAGGCGCTGGCAACACCTCTATATTCGGCTTCAACACTAAAGCGAGAGATGGTTGGCGCTTTGAAGACCATGAGACGAGGTTGTCTCCAAGGAAGACAAAATAGCCAGAAGTCAAACGTCGAGTAGAGGGACAACCAGCCCAGTCAGCATCGGAGTAGGCGATTAAACCACTAGTTATTGAGCAATAAATATGAAGGCCATGTTTGATGGTGCCTTTAAGGTATCGCAAAATACGCTTGAGTGCCAAAAAATGAGATTCACGAGGATCATGCATGAATAGACATATCTGTTGAACAGAAAAGGCAATATCACGAGGATCATGCATGAATAGATACTCTGAAGTTGCTGAAGGACGATGAGAGAAAGATTGTCTTGACAATCGTGGAAGATGAAACTCACGAAAGCTTGGATAAACTAATCAAAGCACTGAGAGAAGCTGCTCATGCGAACCGCGACCTTGTTTTTGGCTACGTTGGTGTGATGGAGATGAAGAAAAGAAGACAAATCTGCCTAAGAGTGTTGTGTGGGATGGAGATGAAGAGTATGATCAGGTAAAAAAATTGGTTTTAGCAATATCCAAAATCGCATCAAATTCTTTGTATTGACATACTATACGCATATGACTGGTATAGAGACCATAAGCCAAGAGGAAGATCATATGACTCAAGTGTCTCGGTTTCTAGAGAGATATAGAGAAGGAAGAACAGAGAAGAAGAAAATCAACGGACCATCGTTCATGGGATTTATCAACTCAATGATCGGGATTAGGTCAGTGTACATCATTGTGTTCTTGGTTGCTGTCATTATGATGCTACGGAGCCTCGGTCAAGTTGAGGAGCCTGCTGGAGTCAGGACCGCCACAACAGCCCGTGAAAGAGTTGATCAGACCACTAGTGTCTCTGAAGGTGAAACTAGTGGAGCATAAGCCTAGTGACAAAAAAGAGGACTAGTTTTGTTACACTTGAATGTGGTATGATTTTTTTTTTATACTTGAAGCTAACTTATATAGTTCATGGTTATTTATCTTCTTTATGGCTAGTCTTTTTGAGTTTTAAACCGACGATTGTTCCAATTTATTTATGAATCCTTTTGGCTCTCTAATGCATATCTTTGGGATCCAATGAGGTACTTACAGATATACTTTGACAGCAATTGGTAGATCATAAAACGATTGTAGTGAAGTAATAGAGTTCGGGCTAGGAGAAAGCAGAGGTGTTGTTTCTGACGCTGGTGGAACATCATTTCCTGTTCTTGGCATGCGTTTACAAACCGGACAAAAGGATCTACAATGTCCGAGCCAAGAATCGATACACACCGCATGAAATTCTGCCTCGAGTAAAAAAAAGGGACAACAATAAAACCACTTTAAGAAGCTTATGCAAGATAATTAATCAACTTTCAGTTGAAAAGAACTAAATGGACTTACTGTGTTTGCAAGGTAGGATCTTGAGTTTTTCACCAACGCAATAATCATCAATGCATATTGCACAAGTAACCGAAGTCGAACTTTCTTCAAGAACACCGGTATATACTTCAGTCGGCATGCTTTGTAATAAGTTTCTAGGCATACGAGAAAGTCCTTGGCCACCATAGGGTAAATGTAAATCCCTCACACTCCGTCTAATTCGATGCATATGGAAAACGAAACAAGTGGCTAGAACAGCAGATATGGTGAGTAAAGATATGAAAGTGATACACATGATGGACCACAGTGAAATCCCGAATCCCGGGATGAGCCAAAGCTCCATCTCGGATCTACCCGAATACCCTTTAAGTACCTCCCCTGATGCTCTTGTAACAAGCAAGCCATGTATATGCACACCAGATGAATTTCCTGCCACTATCATTTTTGTTTTATTTTTTCCAAGATTATAATAACAACCATTGATTAAAGATGTTTAAATAAACATTGAGAACTTATAACAATCATTTAAAGATGATTAAATATTCACACGAACATTTAGAACTTATGAACTTACAAGGTGGTTTACCAAAAAAAATAAAGATAAAATGAACTTACTAGGTACTAAGAGCTCATCATATCCATTGTTATAGACAATCGCAGCTTTGTATCCAGCTTTCTGTGCTTTTATAACTTTTTCCTCAAAACTACATCCACCACGAACGATCAATACATAAGAGGACCTAAACCTTGATCCTTTTTCTGCCATGTTGGTTAAATCCGAGCACGCATCAAGAGGCTCTGCAGCGTATAATGATCCATATTCCCCCGATCTTCTAACAATTGGAGCTGAAAACATCTCAATACGATACTTTTTTAAAATGTTGTCTAGTGTACATACAATTATTAAGAAAAGTAAAGAATACTTTGTTACTGATCACTCCAAAATATAGAGCGGTCTGGTCACTATTTAGTAGTTGGCACATAATTTTCTAATGCAAGCCATATATATCTCCAACCAATAAGCCGTGTAATAGTACGTAACTCCACAACAACCAAAAAAACGATATATAAGTAAAACTAAATCAATGAAACAATAAGTATATGTAACTGAGAAAACTTACTGAAAGTCGCTTCGACATATTCAAAGGAGAGAATTGTGTTTTCCCCGATCAACACTACTTTGGCCGAAGCCAGCTGAGAAATTACCAACAGAAACATGATTGTAATCAACCTACAATTCATGATTGCTGTCCCTCAGTTTCAATTGAATCGAAGCTCCTAGTACGAATGAGATACCGACCAAAACAATAAAAGCAGGATAGGTTCAGAGAAGAAGTTTCTAAAGTTTAAAAAATTTGATGGAAGGAAATTTCTTCTTCCATTTAAGAAATGTCTTATGACCAGGACATAAGTGTAACATGGAATGTGCTTGCAGAAGATATCATTTTTTATTTACTTAGTATAATCTATATGAAAAATAATTATGAAGTTCGCTTTCCATATATGGTGTCCACCTAACCATCCACCTAAGCAACACTATTTATTTTACGTTAAAACTAAATTTAAAATATTTATTTAGTGCATATTTATGTTACTTATAATTAAAAATTTTAAATAAATAAAAAGAATTATTTAAAATAAATGAGATGTTAAAATAATAAAAATAATACTATGAAAATTTTATTAGTAGTACTAATATAGTTCAACTTTTTAACAGATATAAATTAAAAATGATCATACTTCTAATTTTTAAATGTGTTAGTGAGTTTTAGAACGGAAGTAAATTTTAAATGCATTTATGTAAGTCTATATGTAAAATTTTAAATAAGAAAAAAAAATTTAAAGAGAAACATTATATAGTATCTTAGAACAATATACAACATATTTTTATTTATTATTAAATTCTTACTTCAAGAAAAATAAAAGATTACTAAACTCAACTTAAATTTATAATTTGAGACGAAGATATTGTAAGAGTCACACTTTATCTTGTGAAATTATAAAAAAAAAAATCTTGAAAGTTTTAAAACAACATCCATCTTAAAAAAAATAAATAATCAATGATCACATTATTATTCATGAGTTCTATAACAAATTATACAAAAATGATATGTAAACTGTTAAAAAAATATGATATGTAATTTGTGTAGCATATTCTCAAGTGGAAATACAACTTTATAAAATGATAAAAAAAAAATTGAGTATTGAAAGATAGTAATTAAGGAGAAAATAGTTATGATATGTCTTGAAAATTAATTCACAGTCCAATATATATTATACGAGAGTCAATAAAAAAGTGAAAAACATAGATGTCGAGAGGCATCATAGAAGATGACAAAAGAATTAGGGAGAACGACCTGTGTCCCCCCAGTAAGTTTTATATAGTACCATAGCAACACAGATTTCGGATCTCGTCTCCAATCCACACAAAACAAAACTTAAACTCCAGTTTCTCCCTAAACTGAAAGTTCGAGACCTCAGTCTCCATAAATTCAAATTTCGTAGTTTATCATTGGTTTACTGTGCCGAACCCGATGCCAAACCAAAACCCAGAATAATAAACCGATTTTAAACCCGATTCAAGTTATCACAACCCGAAATAAATACTTATTTCAAGAATCCCCAAATTAAGAAATCTTAGAACCCTAATTTCGATTTTTCTCTTCAACATTAGAGATTTGAAGTCTGAGCTTGAATATGAGCAATTCATCCGGAGCTACAAGTGGAGCATCAAATGTGGGACAGAGAAGAAGAGTTGTGGGTGTAGATGTGTTGGTGTGGAGCAAGTATCTCGGCGATCATCTCCAAATCCACCGCCAATCCATACCGCCGTTACTATCGTTGTGCTTATGCTGCATCACATAAGGTAATGTGATTGATATTTGGGTTGTTTCTTACGAATTTTGACTTTAATTCTCTGTTCTCTGTAGCTTATCGATGATAACCACACTTTCAAGTGGGTTGACGAAGCATTGTTAGATGAGATAGAGAGATTGAGTATAAGAACAATTGCACTTGAACAAACCATGTCCCAGATTACATCAGACACTATGGATCACCAGAAGATGATTTTTGAGAGGATGCAAATGAAGCTAGAGAAAGAGATTTTTGAGAGGGTAGAAGCAGAACTGTTGGAATCCAAATCAAGCATGAAGAAAATGTCGATTGCTGTCATTGTAGGGTGTATGATCATGCTTGGTTTGAGTAAAGTGATAGGCTGAAACGAGTGTATTGGCTTGTTGTTGTTGGTCTTTGTTTGTGCTTCTTGTTTTTTTTTTTATTCTTGTTATTGTAATGTCTTGATCCTCTTTTGGTAGTCTAATGAAACATGAAATTTGGTTCTTGTGCTTGTTATGTGTACTTCTTGTTGTTTTGTAATGTTCTATTTTCCTAAAACAGAGACAAAATAGCATAAATAGGTTCAATGCATTATCATTACAACCAATCATCTAAAAGACAAAGACAACAATGTACCATTACACATGGTCATGAAACCAAAAATATAAAGCCGTTGTAATTAAACCAAAAACACAAAGCCGTGGTAACGAAACCAAAAACACAAAGCCGTGATACTCTAATCCTAATCAGATGATAAACCAAAAAACCTCCTGCCATCTAACACTACTCTAATCCTTCACTCTAATCCTTCAGCCTTGAGACATAACCACTCCTTGAGACGGTTCCACTTGACTGCCATGAGTTACAGTCCCAACTCCTTCAAAGGCCTAAGACAAATCATGAAGCAAAACATGTCAGTAACCTATTGTGACAAACTGAACCAATGTGACAAAACATACTTACCAATGCAGAAGATTTCTTCTTCTTATGAAACCTGGAGTTGTGACCAGCTGCATGACAAAAACCACAGTGCATTACCCTTTTCATCTGTTTAGGTGCCTTCTTTGTAGGTGACTCATTCTTTCCTTTCTTCCTCTTTTTATTTTTTTTACTCTCCTTTCCTTTCTTCCTCCCAGGTGTAGGTGGTGGTGGTGGTACATGCACATTAGGATGATCTGTTGATGGCCAAAAAGCAGGTCCTCTCTGTGGAAATAGGCATTCCGTGTAGTTCTTCTTCCACATAGCTGTCCGAAACCAGTGACAGACATAGTCTTCAACCTCAAGCTTCTTCTCTAAGATGACTCCATAAGCATGCTCACAAGGAATGCCACAGATTTGCCATTTCTGACAAGTGCAAGTCCTCTCAGTCAAGCTAATCCTATGAGTATCTAATCCTCTAGTAGCTTCATACATGTCATTAGTGCTTCTTCTTATACTCATCTCTGAAGCTTTCTTGTGTTTCTTGGCAAGAAACATACTAACATATGGCGTGCATCTCCCTTGATGGTCATTAGATTCCACAGATCTCTTGAAGATTATGACCATTGCAAGTCTCCTAATGGTCTCAAGCATGGCACAAATGCTTTGTCTCTAGCCTTGACAATGGAGTTGTTGAAGGACTCGGTTGAATTATTCTCTACATCTTCACAGTAGGTTCCTTGCTTGTAGAATGCCCTGCACCAAGTTCTTGGTTTTGACTTGACAACATCACGCCAAACTGCCACATTGTAGTTGTAAAGCTCAGTCATGTGAGCTTCAAAGCTGCTCTCATTGTAGCTCCATGCCACATCCCAAATGTACTTCTTTATCTCTTTATCTTTCCCATGATTCTTCTTTAGATTACCATAGATGTGTCTCACACACATTCTATGCTCTACTTTTGGTAGCTCTAAGTCAACTGCTCGGATCAAACCCTGTAAAATAAAGAAATCTGAAGCTTATTATGTCATGAAATAGGAACAATAAATGATTAAATGTCAAGAAATCTGAAGCTTATTACCTTTTGATGATCAGACACTATGATGTAACCATCACCATCCATTAGTCCCAAATCATCTTTCAGCTTCCTCACAAACCACACCCAATTCTCTATGTTTTATACTTGGACACAGCCCCATGCTATTGGGTATATAGCATTATCAGCATCTCTACCTAAAGCAACCAGCAGCTGACCTTTAACCTTTCCTTTGATAAAGGTTCCATCAACTCCTATTAGTGGCCTATAAGATTCTTTCCATGTCCTCTTAATTGCATCAAAGCAGACATAGAACCTATTGAATACCTCTTGTCCTGCATCATTTGTCATAGTTTGCACTTCAACAGTTGAATCTTTGTTGGACACTCTTATCTCTTCCGCATAGTCTTGAAGCCTAGCAAACTGATTATCATATTCTTCTTCTATCTATCTCAATGCTTTTCTCCTTGCAGCTTGACATTGAGGCCTGGAAACTATGATCTTCCATTTCCTTTTAATAGTTTCTTCAATCTACATAGCATGAAATACTCAGGTTCATCTCTAATACTATCTAGAAACAACCTAGCAATAACAGGAACCTTCAACATCTCACAATCTCCATTCGGATTACATGTGTGGACATCCTTGTACACGTTAACTCTCCACTTAGAACATTTCTTCGTGATTGCACAGTATACCCGCCAAATACATCCATCCCCATCACATTTAAATCCAAGCTTCGTTTTATCATACCTGTATTGTGCGATGTTGCAGTCTGTCTTCAAAGCATGGTCGAGAACAGCTTCTTTAAAAGCAATGCCGATGAAGAATGTCTGGTGATAGTAAAAATTCCCACCTCCAGCTCTGATGTTGTCTCGTCTTCTCTCCCGAGCAGCTTCGTCTTCTTCATCTTCCTCACTGTCTGGATACTCATCATGTAGAATCGAAGGTTTGTCTCTAAACTCCATTACAGCCTTCTCGATTTCAAAAGCGTCTCGCTCCCTTGGGTCTTCATCGTCGGGTTCATTGTCAGGTCCATTATATTGTCGGGATCTCCTTCCTCTTGCGGACCAACTCCAGTAGCCTCCTCATGAGCGATGATAACATTCGTATCAAGCTCATTCGAATCCATCAATTTGGGGATTTTTTTTATTCTAGGGTTCTAGGGTACGATTTGGGGATTTTCGGTTTCTAGGGTTAGAGAATTTGGGGATTTCGTGATTTGGGTTTGGAGATATCGGGGTTAATGGGTCAACTAATCAGGTTGGATTCTGGGTAAATCCGGTTTAATTTCGATGTTAAGCGGTTAATTTGGTTTTCGGCACAGTAAACCAATGATAAACCACGAAATTTGAATTTATGGAGACTGAGGTCTCGAACTTTCAGTTTAGAGGGAAAGTGGAGTTTAAGTTTTGTTTTGTGTGGACTGGAGACGAGATCCGAAATCTATGTTGTTATGGTACTATATGAAACTTACTCGGGGGACACAAGTCGTTCTCCCAAAGAATTGTTATTTAAATGTGTTTAAAATTAAATTTCTAAGACTTAGAAAGATCATGTACATGAGATTATTAGATTCAAAGTTGGGCTTAACCATTTGACCATGTAATCATGGAAATGGAGTAAGATAGACATGATGACTTAGTCGAGAATTCTCTTATGGCACGCTGCA